GTATCACTAACTAAGATTAGGGAAACTAAATTTGAACAATAATCTGAACCTACAATTGGAATTGACATCAATACAGGACATTGCAGAGGACAGGCAGGGAGGGAAATAAAATCATGCTAATATTCCTGTCTTATTTGGAGGAGCATATAGGAACTGATTAACCTTAGATATTGTTTGAATAATATGATATTATGCATACATGTTGAAAATGCAAGGGTGATGAGTAGAACAACAGAAATAGAATTTAAAAGTTTCCAACTGGTAGTTCAATAAAAGGCAATACAGTCAAAAAAAATCTGGAAATTGTGATTAGTAGAAAACACAAAATATGACAGCAGGGAGTAATCCAAACAGACCATGAAACACAATAATAGGCTAAATTGATCAACTGAGAGACTGCATAAAACCCAGTTATAGTAAAGAGGAGAAAAACAAAATGACATGTGATGGTTGAACATAAAAAAACACTTGAAGCAAATGCTAACAAAACAAAAGCAATTGTAACTATACTAATATCAGATAAAAAATAATTTTTTGTTTGTTTGAGATTGAGTCTCGCTCTGTCATCCAGGCTGGAGTGCAGTGGCACGATCTTGGCTCACTGCAACCTCCATCTCCCGGGTTCAAGCAATTCCCCTGCCTCACCCTCCTGAGTAGCTGGAATTACAGGCAGGTGTCACCATGCCCGGCTAATTTTTTGTATTTTTAGTAGAGATAGGGTTTCACCATGTTGGCCAGACTGGTCTGGAACTCCTGACCTTATGATCCGCGCACCTCGGACTCCCAAAGTGCTGGGATTACAGGCGTGAGCCACCATACCTGGCCAGATAAAATACAATTTATGACAAAAATACTGAAAGGAACTTGAACTATTTCATGTTATTGAAAGGTATAATAAAGTATAACAATCATACACATAAGTCTTAATGTGTCTAACAACATAGTTCCCAAAACCACAAACCAAAAACAAATACATTCATGTGGATAAACTGACAAATCCACAGCCATACTGGGTGAATCCAAAGCTCTACTTACTGAAATGGAAAGATCGAGGAGGCAAAAAAAAAAAAAAAAAAAAGAGAAAGTATAGAAAATTTGAATAATATAATCAACTGAACCAGATAATGCAGTTTTTAGTTTATTCTTTTTGCACAGCTAAGGAAATACAGTTGACCCTTGAACAACATGAGTTTGAACTGCACGGGTCCACTTACATGTGGATTAAAAAAAAATACATTGAAAAATTTTTAGAGATTTGTGACAGTTTGACAAAACTCACAAATTGCACAGCCTAAAAATATTAAAAAATTAAGAAAATGTGAGGTATGTCATAAATTCATAAAATACAATGCAAATACTAGGTTATTTTTATCATTTCTTACCATAAAATATATGCAAATCTATTAGAAAAAAACTAAAATTTATCAAAACTTACACATACGAACAGACAGTATATGGGGCCATTCACAGTATAGAGAAATGTAAACAAACATAAAGGTGTAGTATTAGATCATAACTGCATAAAATTAATGGTGGTTCATACTGTTATACTATTATAATTTCATAGCCACCTCCTGTTGCTATTTTGGTGAGCTCAGGTTTGCAAGTATCTGCTTAAAACACTGTGATGCTAGGACCAGGTGTAGTGGCTCATGCCTGTAATCCCAGCACTTGGGGAGGCCGAGGTGGGCGGATCACGTTGTCAGGAGATCAAGACCATCCTGGATAACAGGGTGAAACCCCATCTCTACTAAAAATACAAAAATTAGCTGGGTGTGGTGGCACATGCCTGTAGTCCCAGCTACTGGGGAGGCTGAGGCAGGAGAATCGCTTGAACCCGGGAGGCGGAGGTTGCAGTGAGCCGAGATCATGCCATTGGACTCCAGCCTGGGTGACAGAGGGAGTCTCCGCCTCAAAAAAACAGAAACAAAAAACAAACAAAAAAATCACTGTGTGATGCTAATAATCTCTGTGTGAACAGTTCATCATCCAGTAAACTGCATATCCCAGTAAAAAAGATTTGTCACAGTTCTTGCACATTTTTTATTGCATCCAGTGCAGTAGAGTAAACCTTGAATAACACCAAGGGACCCATGTGAAGTCCCACTAGCAATGCTGGAAGTACTCCCAAGAAGCAGAAAAAAGTCATGACATTAAAAGAAAAAGTTAAATTGCTTGATATATACCATAGATTGAGGTCTGCACCTCTGGTTGCCAGCCATTTCTGACATACAATTCATCTTGGAAACAGATGACATAAACTTATGGCATTAATAAATATACTACAGTACTGTAAATATATTTTCTCTTCCTTGTGATTTTCTTAACATTTTCTTCTCTGTAGCTTACTTTACCATAAGAACACAGTATATAATACACATACAGTATGTGTTAATCAACTGTTTACGGAATTAATAAGGCTTCTGATCAACAGTGGGTGAATCCAAAGCTCTACTTACTGAAATGGAAAGATCGAGGAAGCAAAAGAGAAAGTATAGAAAATTTGAATAATAAAATCAACTGAACAAGATAATGCGGTTTTTAGTTTATCCTTTTTGCACAGTAGTTATGTTTTGGGGGAGTCAGAAGTTATATGCGAATTTTTAACTGGCATCCCTAACCCTTGCATTCTTTAAGGGTCAGCTGTATATGGATTTTTTTCCATTCCCTTTTAATATAAAATTTTGCCTACTTTGTCAGATGTTTTTCTATCAACTAAGATGCTGGCTTTTGTGTTGCAGAATTCACTGATTTCTATTTTTTTAACTATTATTATTATTCTTATTATTATTTTTGGAGACGGAGTCTTACTCTGTCGCCCGGGCTGGAGTGCTGTGGCGAGATCTTGGCTCACTGCAAGCTCCGCCTCCGGGGTTCACGCCATTCTCCTGCCTCAGCCTCTCAAGTAGCTGGGACTACAGGTGCCCGCCACCACGCCCGGCTAATCGTTTTTCTATTTTTAGTAGAGACGGGGTTTCACTGTGTTAGCCAGGATGGTCTTGATATCATGACCTCGTGATCCGCCCACCTCAGCCTCCCAAAGTGCTAGGATTACAGGTGTGAGCCACCGCGCCTGGCTATTATCATTATTTTAAAATCAGGAATGGGTGTTGAATTTGTCAAATGTTTTTCAGCTTCTGAAGCAATGGTCATTTTTTTTCCCTATATCATTAATACTTTAAATTATAAAATATAACATTTTATTTGGACTTTCAGTTGATTTTCTGTTCTCAATAATCAACAATTACAAACATTTAAAAACATTCCTTTTGGTTTGATTTTTCTCTCCAGATACAAACACATTAAGTTTCTCTTTGATATTTTTTATGTAACTTGTTTCAGAAATTCAGAAAAATACTCAAGACTATTATGCTTTCTAAATTGACTTTCAGAGAATGGACTTTCCATGAATGTATTTACTTTTCTAATTCCTTGAACAGTATGTTTAAGCTTGAAATTTTGGTTTTAAGACTATCTTCTATCTTACCACTGCATTTCAATAATTAGACATATCAGATACCATATAAAAACGTTAAATAACTCCTTCCTTTTTATAGTTTTCATCGTCACACAATGATGTACCTAAAGTTGAGACTCCAAGGTGAGGTGGGAAATGAAAGACAATTTCTGGTGTTGTTTTGGGGGACTATGGGTAGTCACAATGGCTAGATTCGGTATGTACATCTCTCTAGGCTTCTAAGCATGTGAGAACTGTTTGGGTTAAAGATGTATCTTGTCCCAGACTTTTCATTGTTCTCAATAATTTAGAACTTGAAATTTGAGTAACTATAATTTGAAAACTAAGCCACTTGTGCAACTGAATTCAACACCGTAAAAACGTTGTGTTCTTATCTAATGATGTAAGCAGTTTCCAAATCTTTTGTTGTTTCTCCCCCTCCCCACTCCTTTCTCACTTCCGTTTGAGAGAAAAATGCTTTAGCATTATTTGCAAGCAAGACTTATTTTCAACGTTTTAGTCAAGACAAGAGTATAATACAAAGTAACAATTCAGTACACTTCATGTAGGTGTTTCTTCTTCTCCAATTTACTTTTCCTTATTTACCAATTCTCTCCACCTCTTTTGACCTCAAAATTCTTTATCTGCTTGTCAAAAATTGTCCCTAGCCGTCTCCTTCCATTTCTAGTTGTGTGTGAGGTAGTCCACAGAAGCAGTACGCTGAATAGTGCAGTTGCTGTGTTGATCATCCCTATGGCAATAGGTGGTTATTATATTTTGTGTGCCTTGAAAGGCTTAGGCGATGTGTGACATATATAATTTTAAGGCATTTACCCCACGTTTCTTTAAACAAAAAAATTTTAAAGCAATTATTTAAGAGTGGATACATGTTCTCTTTCACTTTACAAAACATTTTGGAGGGAATCTGAGAGAAGTCATGGTTAGAGATTAGTAAAGTTGGAAAACACTACAAATTACCTAACCCAGCTCATTTACATGTGAGAAAATCTGGGCACAGAGCGGTTAAATCACTTGCAGAGTAACATATAAAAAAAAGAAACACATGAAGGAATAAAGGAAAGGTCTGCATGAAGTGTAGTGATCTAGATCGGTGGCCAGAAATATAACTGTGATCTTATTTTCAGTTCATGGCTATTTTTACCACAAGAGCAACACTGATCAGCCTAAATTGGTCAGGGAAACAGAGGAAGTTTTGTCCTGAAAATGTAGCTCACTGTTCAGCTTGTAAAAAAATAAAATAAAGGTTAACTGTCATTATTCTCACTGTTATTGCTTGATTCCACTTTTCAAGGGCTAACCACTTGTCTTGGCTTCTCCTTCACCCATCATCTGCCATTTTTGAGCATTGATTATCCAATGCTTTGTGGACCCTTTCTACTCTCTTCTGGCTCAATTAATTCCTTTTTTAATTAATTCATTGGCAGAATGTTTTCTCACATTTTCACAAGTGTTGGCTCTTGAAAGAGGTATTACACATGTTCTTTGACTCCAAAGGAAACCAGAAAAAAACTGGGACAAGAAATTTGGTAGGAGGAACAGAAACGAAGTTGCATGAAAAAGACAGTGGAGTGGGACTGAGAAGTGACAACTGCCCACGACTGACCTCCCTCTTTCAAGGCCTGTGTCGCCAGGACGCTGCCCAGAAGAAGCCACGACGAGGCGCAGGCGCGACTCCACGAGGGCCACGCCCCTCCTAGAGAAGGACCGACCGGTTTTCCGCCCGCATCGGAGCTTGGGTTTCCGGAAGGACCTGATTCTGGAAGGGACCAAACCGGATAGAGGTCGCGCGCCCTCTTTCGTCTACCTTCCGGTTCACTAATACGCAATTTCGCAGAAGGGCTGGAACGTGTCGTCCCTCTGCGCAGGCGTAGTCACCGCTTGACCCGCGGCGCTATGCCGGGGCGGCACGTTTCTCGAGTCCGGGCATTGTACAAGCGCGTCTTGCAGCTGCACCGTGTTCTGCCTCCGGACCTCAAAGCCCTGGGCGACCAGTACGTGAAAGACGAATTTAGGAGACATAAGAGCGTTGGTTCTGACGAGGCCCAGCGTTTCTTGCAGGAATGGGAGGCAAGTGACGCCCCCTTTTCTCTGCCCAAGACCTTTGGGGTCCCTCGGTGTCCCGGTTTCTTGTTCCAGTCCCCCATGCGGGGTTAAACAGAGCAGCAACCTGTTCTGTTTGAATTAAACAGCGTAATGCTGTTCGATAACACTTTCAAAGTTTCTCCCACGGGTTTCTCCCCGGAGCATATCCTGTTACTTCAGCGTCCCCAATTCAGTTCAACTTTTCAGCTCCTGCAGATGCCAGGTGCTGGAAGGGTGAGGGTAGGAGGTCACAAAAATGAGCAAGTCGTCGTTAAGTGCTCAAAGACCTCAGGAGCTTTTTGTTCTTTTAAGTGCCTTTGCACATAGTAAGCGCCCGTTAATAAATTAATGCTTCTCTTACTAGTTTTCAAATTTAAAGGCTTATTTCCGTAATTTATGATTTCTTTAATCTCAGCTGTTTTGGTTTGGTTTAAATAATTTTCTCACTTGGCTGATACAGAAATCAGGTAACATGAAAAAGATTATAGATTACAAAAAGCAGGAGATTACAAACTGTGAAGGAGAAAAATGCTGGTGCCAGTTAAGTCAGGTGAAAGTTGTTTCCTCCGAGGTCTCAAGTCAATGTTACATCGCCCTACACCGTTGCGCTAAATGTTAAACGGACACATGCATTAGCAATAAGTCGTTTGACTTTTTTTTTGTTTTTTTTGAGTGAAGGACAAAAGATATTCAGAGTATTTCGTGGGGCTTGGGGCCCTGCAGGATTGTCCCAAGTTTTCATTTGCAAATATAAAGAAATGAATGGAATTAGAAATTGGAATGACAGCTCAGATACTTGAAAGCGTGAGTTGGAGCTGGTATGAAAGTAGAGGTAAGCGATTCTTCGGCCTAAAAAGTTGAAGGGGAGTTGACTAAAGTCTGCTTTTTTTAAAAAATCAAAAGAATGGTTAGGGTGAGCACAAAATTTGCAATGATTTCCAGAATTCTTATTTGTATAATTATTGAAGCTTTTTGACATTTAGAACAATAGGAAAATTTAGACCTTCCTTGAAAATCATGGTCTATTTGATGTAATTCGCTTGTCTGAAGCCAAGGAAGTTGACGCTTTTCAGGTACAGAGCATTTTATTTTAATAAGGTAATTTGGTTTTGGAGCCTGAAGAACTGGATTCAGATTCAGTCTCTGACATTTATTAATATTAAGTGTCAATCACTTAATTTTTCTGGTCTCATTTTCTCATCTATAAAATAAGTGTTTATGCATCTCAAAATTTACATATGTAAGTGTATTTACAAGCACTTTTGTATTGCTAATTGTTACGAAGCTATAAGATACTGTATTAAAGTATTTTACATCTTTTAAGGTAGGTCATTTTGTGGCCGTACAGGAAGGAGAGTAGCTCTCTGTTGGGAGGAAATAAGGTTATTTTGAGAAGTCTTAAAACGTAAACACTTGGAAGCCTTTTAGGGAAAAAGTAGGAAAGAGTAGCAACTCAGAAAAAAATTGATAATAGGTTGTAGGAGAGAAAGAGGGTATAAAAAAGAACTGCATAAATAAAAAAATCGTTAGTTGACCTAGTAGGCTTGGTAACTGGAATTGAGCTTTTTAAAACTCTTGGAATAATTTTAGACATACAGGAGAGTTAGAAAGACAGTACAGAGTTCCCTACATCCTGTTTCCCCCTATGTTAGCATTTTACATTATCAGGGTACAGTGATCAAAAGCAAGAAATTCACATTGCTACAATATACTATTAACTACAGGCTTTATTTACAATTTGCCAGCCCTTTCACTAATGTCCTTTTTCTGTTCCAGGATCCAATGGGGATTCTACAATGCATTTAGTCATTCTTTTTCCTTAATCTCCATTCTGTGAGAGTTCCTCGTCTTCCTATCTTTCATTACCTTGATAATTTTTTGAAAAGTACTGGTCTGTTAACTTTGTGGAATGCCTCTCAATTTGAGTTTGTCTGGTGTTTTCTCATGGTTTAATTGATTTTATGCATGACTGAGAATACCACAGGGGCTGAAGTGTTCTTCTCAACACTTAATGTCAGAGGTCACGTGATATTAACATGCCTTCTTACTGGTGATGATAACTGTGATCACTTGGTTAAAGTAGTAATCCGCCTGGTGTCTCTACTGTAAACTTACTATTTCCCTTTTGAAATTAATACATATTTGGGGGTAGGTACTCTCAGGCTTGCAGATGACTACTAATCTTAGCATTCTTTGATGGATTTTGCCATTGCGTTCCAATGGTGGTTCTTTTGTTTCCCTCATTCCGTTTGAATTTATTAGTTGACATGCGTCTGTAGAGAACAGTTTTCCTGTCTTCCCGGACCATTGTTGATCTACTGGAATTAATGAATTGGCAGCTGCGTAAAGATAAATTTAAACATAGTGATCTCTTTGGATAATGTAATTATCACAGTTGCAAGGCAGCTTAACCTAAGTCTGGGAGTTAGACGTGGTAGGTTGGATCCTACCAAGAAAGATACGTGAAAAACTGGTCTTTTTTAGACGTGGTAGGTTGGATCCTACCAAGAAAGATACTTGAAGAACTGGTCTTTTTGAAAGAGTAGGGCTAGAGAAGAGCTAATGATTGGCGGGGAAAAAAACCTGGCTAGAGAAGTTTTATCACCAGAGAGTAATATAGTTAAGACTTCCAAGTCTTTTTTTCCCCCACATGTTCTTCAGAACATCTAATTTATGACTGTTATACTAGATACTGCTAGATATGACATGGATTTTTATGCCTTTATTTTTCAGTTAGTGCTCATTACAAACTTGGCACCTGTTGTTTGAATATTACTTAATGGTTACGTTTACATCAAACTAAGAGTAACTGTTGTGGACTTCTAGTTTTATATGTTATGTAGAGTCTGGTCTACACAATCCCAGTCCCTCACACACATCTAAACTTAATTGTGAACTTGAATGGATTCTGAATTTGTTTTACATCAGTGGGCAACGTTGGGTAAGTTACCACTGAAGAAAAGAAAGGGATCAAGAACACTAGAGGCCCCGTATTTGGAAGAGAGTTCTCTAGTTCCTTTCATTTGTGATCCTGGAAAACTGGCAATATAGTAGTAGAGAGAATTCAGCTGGGAGAAGTTTTTGTTCAAGGACCAATTGGGGCAACGTGGAAGGAAAGTATTTTAAGTATATAAATGTAAAAGCATGTTTACAGAGTAAATAGGGAATTTATATAATTTCTCTCTATAAGAGAAAAAATAAAGTTCAGGAAGAGTTTTTGGGAATCTATTAAGAGAGAATGTACGATAACTGGTTTGTAAAATGTGCATTGTAATCTCAACTCTTAGGAGGTAACTATTAGAAGTGAAATTGAGACTCCATGGATCAGGGGTCTTAACTATGTCATTTTGAAAGTTCTGACTGTGCTCATTTTTGAGGAATAGTTGATTTAAGTAAGGCTTTCTATTTTTCTCTCTGTGCCTACCACTTATTTTCTAGGAAATCAGAATAAGCATTGAAGATTAAATAGATAAAACATGTTGGTGAGAGAATATGAGACAAAGAGCATGCAAGAGTGCTCTCAGGAGCTACCTGAAGAGACTTCATGTGTTTAATTTTTCTTTTTCTGTCCCATTTATTTTTCTCAGTTGCCTCTTGCCTAGTTCCTGTTGTTTTTCTTAAGTACCTGTTTTGTTCTGTGTCTGTTGGGGAATGTTTTTTAAGTGTTTTGTTTCTAGAAAAAGGCATAAACATTTTTCAGATAGTTTTGATCAATTGCTATTTCCAGACAATATGCTAGGCATTTAGGACACAAAAATGAATAATAAATGTATTTTCACTTTCACAGTGTTCAAAGTTTAGTAGAAAAGGATAGACAATTGTAATATAGTATGAGTGTCTATTAAATGCTGTGGGATCAAGGAGAAATGGAGGAAGTTGAAAGCTATACAAGATGGTTAAGTCTTGAGTAGGTCAAATTTACCATGTCAAAAAGAGAACCTTCTAGAAAGAGGGAATAACATATGCAGAGGCATCGAGGTAAGAAACAGTATGACTTTTTTCCAGGAACTGCAGTGTTGTGTTTGGAATTTAGTGTTTTACACGGAAGATGAGGAAGAAATAAAGCTAAAGAGGTGGCAGGAGACAGGATATTCTGCTAAGGGTTTTAAGTTTTTATTTTGAATCATTGAAAGTTTCTTAAATGGTGGAAATGACATAAATTGTATTCTAGAAAGATCATGTTGGCAGCAACATAGAGGAATAATTGAAGTAAAAACCAGATTGAAAGTAGGGAGAACTGTTAGTAGATGGATGTAGTAATCCGAGTCTCAAATAGGTATATGTCTAAACCAAGACAGAGGCCTTGAAAATGGAGGATATAGATGTATGAAATTTTTTTTTTTTCTTTTAAAGTAGAGTGGAACTTGACTTGTTGACTAATACAGTATTAGTGAAGGAGAAGAAAACAGAATGGATAACTCCTGAGTTTGGAGCATGATACCAGTAACCAGAATAGTCATATAGGAGGAACAGATTGGGAATGAGTTCAATTTGGTGTGCTTTGTGCTAAACATTCTCATGGAACAGTTAAGTGAAGATGTTCAGAGAGATATATGTTGGTCCGATACTCAGGAGACAGATTGTGGCTGGAGATAGAGATTTGGAAGTTACTACCTGTAGTTGGTGGACCAAAGATGTGGGTGGAAGTGCCCCTTTTGGTTATAGTGTTGGGGAAGTTGGTCAAAGATAAAACATTAACATTTAGGAGTTGAGAGAATGAAAGTAGTCATATAGTGCTAGAATTTTTCTTTTTTATCTTTTTTCTTTTTTTTTTCCATCTGTATTTGTTCCTAGTTACTGCTACAAAGGAAGTACTTTTTTACTTTTTAAAATTTTATGTTAAGTTCTGGGATACATGTGCTGAACGTGCAGGTTTGTTACATAGGTATACATGTACGATGGTGGTTTGCTACACCTATCAACCCATCATGTAGGTTTTAAGCCCTGCATGCATTTGGTATTTGTCCTAATGCTCCTACCTCCTC